GTTAAATGAAGAGTTGATTTTTGCTAATTAATCGCACACTCTTTTTAATCTATATCTTTTGATTTCTAAAACGATTAAGGTTAAATGAAGAGTTGACTTTTGCTAATTAATCACACACTCTTTTTAATCTATATCTTTTGATTTCTAAAACGATTTGCTCTTAGGACAAAGGGATCCTTGCTTGTGCTTTCGTGTTGGAATGTGCTGAAAAGAATGAAGTAAAAATAAAAAAAAAATAAAATAAAATACCTAACCATTTGTACAAATGAAATTAGATCAACGAATGGACAACCAGTCAAACATGATTAAGAATTAAATAAAATGAAACATAATAATGGTACGAGATGCAAACAAAATATATGCAAAGAATTAAATTTTACTTAGTATGAAAACTTTAGGCACCGAAATCCAAAGGCAGAACCAAAATTGTTCATTATATTTCACAATTTTTGTTGTCTTAGTCCAAAAAAACAGGTAACAAAGTGTATGGATATTGTGCAAACTATCCAACGAATTTGTGTTTATGTCAAAGCCTTCAGTTTTTAGTCAAATCTTATTTTTAAACTATTAAAATTTACATACCAAGAAATTCATAAATTTCAGTCACAAAGGTTCTTGAATTTCTTCTTAATCTTTAGGGCAAATTTCACTTTACCCCCTTGTGATTTAGCATTTTTTCACATAACCCCCCTATGGTTTCAAAAGCTATATATAACCCCCTTATGGTTTGGATTAAAGTGTCAAAGTAACGGAAATAGTCACTCGTAACGGAACTTCTAAAAATTTTACCATATAACCCCCTTATGATTTTTATATTTTACCATATAACCCCCCTATGATTTAATATTTTACCATATAACCCCCTTATGATTTTCAAAATATACACATAACCCCTCTTGGTTAATACATAAATTTCAACTTTACATAAGGGTATTTTTGACATTTTAGATGACGCCGTTACGAGTGACTATTTCTGTTACTTTGACACTTTAATCCAAACTATGAGGGGGTTATGTATAGTTTTTGAAATCATAGGGGGTTATGTAAAGAAAGGGTAAACCACAGGGGTAAAATGTAATTTACCCTAATCTTTAAAGTTTCTTTTACAAGGGAGAGGAGGCATTAACCAAACGATTTAACAAGATTCCAAAATTTAAACCAAAGAATAGATTACATGTCAAGCAATAAATTATCAAAATTTAGGGGAAATTTAAAAAATATATAAATAATTAAATAAAAGGTTAAAACGTAACAACGTATTTGTTGACAATTATGCGAAGGATCAATGGCCTCTTCCTCTGGCTCTTTCCTCTTGTGGTGCAGATTTATTTTCTGTCTACTCCACCTTAGAGTTTTAAAGGAGAAATTTTCTCCACATGATCAGTCACAAGAGCATCTGTAACCAACATTAACAGTTTCCTGTTGCCAAATCATTAAAAAAATAGCTCCAGAATGCTATTTTTATGCAATTTTCTTGTGAACAAAATTTCACCACATTTTGTTGCGCCAATGAATTCAATCATCACATTTGACATTTTCCGATCAAGTGCAAGGTGTATCTCGTGCTTCTTCCAATCCTGATTATTTTGATTATCTAATCTCCACAGGCCGAATTCATCAAACATGTTGTGACAATCACCTTTTTTGCATAACAAAGCCAAATCTCCCCCGACTTGACACAATTGCATCATGTTTTGGGCACTCTCCAGAGCAAGAAGCCTTCCAAATCTTTCCTTTCCAACCTCAAAATATTCCATAACTCTTTTATCATTCATAAGAAATTCATCCATCCAATACATCACCCCTTGAACGAATATGACCTTTAGGGGTTTTTCAGCTGCTTTTCTTCTTGTGGCCAATAGGTGGGCGACCTATTGGCCTCCAGGATCCGTTTCCCAGTGTGAGAATTTTGCAGAATCGAATTGCGTTCCTCTTGCTACTAAGCAGGTAAAGCAGTTTATATTTCTTGGTGACCAGATCGAACCCCAGGGTATATGATTCCCTACACCCCTCGCCTTCATATGAAGTTTCTAAATCCCACGAGGATGGCATTTTTTTCTTCTCCCCACTGGTGAGATTGTGTATTTGAGGATCAAAATATGTCTTGTGTCTCAAGCTTATTAGGCCATTGACAATGTTGGAACAAGGGCAATATTCATGGAATGTTTGCACAGGAATTTGAAAAGAAAAAACAGCTTGAGGATTTGCTGGGATGATGGTTTTCATGCAAGATTCACCAAATCCTATAGAAAACAGAATGTAGGATGCATCAGGCCGGCTGTAAGAATGAAAATTGTGGGATTCAGTGAAGTCAGGATGGCAGATTAAGCGAGATGCCCGGTCTTGCACACGGATTTGAATTGCATGAGAGACTTCGCTGGTAGTCGTTTGAGCACTTCAATGACTATCTTATCAGGGATTTGAAGCTTCGACAGCTTCTTGATCTTCCTCTTTTCCATATTAATCAGCCGCTATCTTTAGTTTCTGCTGTTTTTCTCTTCTGTACCATAGGGTTCTTGAGTGATTCGGAGTAAGAAATTGATCGAGAGCAATTGGAAATAAACGAAGGCATTGGCTTATTCGGAGTAGGAAAATGATTCGGAGTTGGGATCTAGTTAGACTTTTTAAAGGAAAACAATTGTGTGCATGGGCAGAAGAAGTGGAAGTAGGCATTTGTTAAGGTCTGATTGCGGGTGGTCTGGGGTATTAACAATAATTTGGTCATGACTCATGAGAGTTGATAGTGTAAAACTTTTCCTAGATGATCCAATGCTCCAACTCCTATTACCAAAAAAAAAAAAAAAAAAAATCCAAATTGTCAAACGTACCATGTGGACAAAATTAGTATGTTCTCCTCCCTAAGAATAAGAGGTAGGGTTGGATCCACTTGATTCAGATTCGAACATGCTATAAATATTTTAAACCATACCTTCATGGAATTAAAAAATAAATCCAAATTCGGACCATTGATATCCCTAAATGTGCAATAAAAAATAAATCTTAAAAATAAAAACGTATTCAATTTAAAGATAATAGAAATACAAACTAATTACAATCTTTAAATAACAAAATTAATATTTACCAATGTTGCGTGCAATAACAATGGACTGAAAGCATGGACTTTTAATTATTAATGCACCTTTATCATCGAAATTAATATATGTCTATCGTGGAAATATGCTAGCTCCTCTCTAGTCCAACAGGCTATAACTTAAACTCCATGGATAATGGTATGAAAGGGTTGGTTTAAGATTATTCAAGTTAGGTTTGACAAAATTTCACGTAAAATTGAAGTCAAAATCAAGTCAGATTACGTTCAAATTGCTTCCTCAGTAATACATGACCATTCCACATTCGTGCTCTTATTTTCATTTTTCGGGACTAGTTGAAATAGTCCTGAAATATATGATCAAGAAATTGAGAAAAGGTTCAAAGATGCAAAATTTAGGAGTTTCATTTCGTGTCTAATCCATAGGTCAGCTCAGAAAACATGACAAAAGCATTAATATTCTGCAATTTTGCAGTAAATGTAGATGCCAATTGCAGATGAAGCAATGCATTACTACCATAACAGAAAGAAAACAGAAGAGTATCCTAAGACTCGAGTACTTGGTTCGATGATAATACAGAGATCACTTTCACTTGCTCACCTTGCTTTTGCTAATTCTACCCTTTTTGTGGCATCTTTGCAGTTGTTGCTACATTTTTCTTTGTTCTGGCTAATCCTCCTGCTCATCACTTGCAAATTCTAGAGGGATTATGTTTTCCACATGATGGCTTACCAAAACTTTAGAAGCTAGTGCAAGAAGATTACCAATTGCGGGAGGTTGCCACCGTCACTTCTCCAATGCTATACTCTCTTGTGCTCAGATTATAAAAGATCAATTCCGTCCAGCAACCGTTTTTGTAAAATCTTGATGTTACTAAGATCTCACCTGTGTTGGTGGTGCCAATAACTTCATATTGACGTAGAAAAGTCAACACTTGAGAATTTCAATTTTATCCTTCACCCATACCTGATGAATATCTTTGTCCATGAACTGCAACTAAAAAAAAAAGGGTTTTGTTTGTGATTAATATAACTCCTCTTCTTCCACATATTATTATGTGTGTCAAATATGCATTTCACTATGTGATTTTATATAAATACGTATAGCTTAGTCCTAAATCCCTTTTTTTTTTCCTTTTTTGCAGTTCAGTTAAAGGCATTTGGTCAATGCAGATATTGAAGACGATCATTCGGGTTTTCGTTCTGAAAAGTGACAATGTAGTGAATGAGCACATATTAAGAATAGATATATTAGTTGCATTGTGCTACGTGGGCTCACACTTCTAAAGGCACATTATCATTTTCTCTTTGTAACTCAAGAACCAAGGCTACTCTTATTAAACTACACGATGTTTCAATATGTGGATCATGAATTGGAATACTTTGATGCAAGTGAAATTTCAGTACTACTGCCACCCGAACTTGTTAAATTTGTCAGCTGAAACATATCATCTTCAAAATTGGAACCTCGCCACTGCATGAGAGATGGTCACTGAGATTTTGAAATTTCAAATACCTGAGTCAACAATAGTTGCAGATTTTCCGAATAAAAACAAGACAGAAAGATGAGTAACAGTTATCCAGTAATATCCAGACACCAAATTTGCAAGAAAGTCATTACAGAAAAAACTGGCATTCTCTTTTTTGAGGTAAAATACATATCATTCAAAACTATACTATATAGAAGCTAGCCAAATCACAGAATATCTGTAGAATCACGGAATCTAACAGGAAAATAAACCCCAACACTAGAGAAAGTTCATCACTGTTACAATCATTGCACGTATGACTCTGCGCATTAATGTCGAACATAACTGTCAAATAGTGAACTTGATACACATTTTAAGCTGATTTGTTCTTTTCTGTTCTTCTTTCCCTTGCAAGTCTCCAGGGGAAGAATGTTTTCCACATGATCGCCCGCAGAAGCATGAGAAACTAAGAAAATCAGGTCTCAAACTTTGCCCTTAGGATGCGATGGACAGGTGATCCAAGTAGTCCTAAATTTTCCAGTTTCCAAATCATAAACAATTAATTTGCCCCTAGGTGGCCACTTGCTGCCAACTGTAATTAAGATTTCACCTCTTTTTGTGGAGCCAATAATTTTAATTTCAAGCATAACAGGAGGAGAGTCCCACAATTTGATTTGAATTGTGGTCTTGGTCCAGACTTTGTTCTTATTCCTGTCCATTCTCCAGAGGTCACACATGCCTGAAGAAGCATCTTTCAGGCATAAAAAAGCCAAACACCCTCTAACTTGTGCTAATTGCCCTGTGCTTTTGACACCTTCAGGTCCAAAAAGTACTTCAAATTTCTCCCCAGCAACACTGAAACACTGAATACCTCTTCTACCATTCATGGCTAATTCATCCATCCAATATATGGTTCCATTAGCGCATATATTCCTTTGAGAAAGTCCCCAAATTGGTAACTCGTGTATTTTCCTCCATGATGGGGCTCCCAAGGCATGGATCCTACACTCCTTATTTAAATTTTCTTTATTTTTAAGTATGAAGATGACTACATATTTCTTGGTAGATGGATCAAAACCCATGGCATAAGAACGGCTAACAGTTTCGTATCTGTTTACAGCACTCAACGGTGTCCATGGAAGAGCCATCTTCTCCCCTGTGGTGAGATTGAGGACGTGAGGCTGCAGAATTTTCTTCTCTAACAAACAGACAAGGCCATGCACAATTTCGGTGCAAAGCACATAATTTTGGAAAGCATGAGTAGGAATTTGGGAGGAAAAGCATTCATTAAGATTTGTTTGGACAATAGTATTTGAACGAATCCAAATAGAAAATAGGAGGCATCAGGCCTAATATGAGAATAATCACGGTGAGATTCTGCAAAGTAGGGATCCCAGATTAGGCGATGCCATGCCTTAGAGACCGCTTTGAATCGCATGATCGACTTTGCTGGAAGTCTTTTGAGCACTTCGAAGACTACATCAACAGGGACTTTGAAGTCTGATTGCCTGCTGATCTTTCTCCTCTTCATCCTCGCCACTTTTTCGTTCAACCCGGTCTGTTCACCCTCCTCCGCCGCTATTTATCTCGACAGTTTTTATGAAGGCTCTAAGGTGAGAGTTAGTCCATCTATATTTTTGTGTAAATTACACTTAACTCGACTGTGATTTTTCATATTGCTACATGTTCCTTTTTAAGGTTTTAAAATATCTACATGATCTCCTATAATTTTATGTGATGTAGAAAATAGACAAAAATACCAACTATTACGGTGACTCATCTAGATGTGCTCAAAAAAATGTGCATGACAAAATCATAATATTCGCTTAAACCTTTATAATTTACATAAATATCCACTTTAACGGTTGTAAGTTTTGCATTTATTGACGAAATTCCCATATGATTTTATGGAAAAATGCTTGTGCCATTGTCAATTTAATACCTAAACAAGAACAATACTGATATTTCAACTAAAGACTTTATGGGGGTTATTTTCTATCAAATTTTCACTTTGCTTGAAATCATAGGGAGTTTGTAGATATTTTAAAATGTTAGAGAGTTTTGTGGCAATTTGTGAATCTACAAGCAAGTTTGTGTAATTTACCCTTTATTTATGTGCTGATCATATATTCTTAGGTTGCAAAATAGAGATTTGAGGATTCAAAAATTAGAGGTCTTAGTTTCAAATCTCACTATTCCCTCCTCGCTCCTTAATTCTCACCTCTTCCTGGTAGAAAATTTTTTTAGAAAAAATGTTATGAAATAAAGAAAACCTTTATATAACGTACAAGTATGTTTGTGAATTTAGGATATCAAATATATAAACAAAAGAAAATAGGACAAATTACACTTTACCTCCCCGTGGTTTAGTTTTTTTAACATAACCCCCCTATGGTTTCAAAAGTTATACATAATTTTCTCATGGTTTGGATTAAAGTGTCAAAATGATGAAAATGATCATTCGTAACGGAGTCACCTAAAATATCAAAAATACACTTATGTAAAGTTGAAAATTATTTATTAACCAAGGGGGTTTATATGTATATTTTGAAAATCATAAGGAGGTTATATGGTAAAGTATTAAATCATAAGGGGGTTATATGGTAAAATATAAAATCATACGGAGTTAGTGTGTCATGTATTTATAAGGGTAATTTTGACATTTTTAAAAGTTCCGTTACGAGTGACCATTTCCATCACTTTGATACTTTAATCCAAATCATGAGAGAGTTATGTATAGATTTTGAAATCATAGGTTGTGCATCAATATCATTTATCCAAATGTGATAGCCTATCCAATGTCAGTGTACATAAGATCTAGTATTCATAAATCCTCATAAAAAATTTATCCCTCAAGCAATAGGAGGTGCATATGTACTTTATTTTACAAGTTTATTATATCTTCCTCCCTCGTTCCTTGGCCAAATTACAAAATAAACCTTGTGATTTGACTAAATTACATCTATCCCCTTATGAGTGATGTGCTCCTTTTATATTTTTATTATTAGACTTTTATTACCCATTTATCATAATTTGATTTTAATTTGCATCTTATTTAATTCCAAAATCCTCAATATCCTTATTTAAAATTTAGAGGACAATAATGATTCGAACTCCAAACATTGGGGACCATAGTGCAAAATTAAAATTGTTGACTAATGGCAATGACCGTTAGTTATTGTTGAAATTTTCATCAATTGTCCTAATGGCTGAAATAAAAAAAAATTGGGAGAGTATTTGTTTTGGTTGAAATATTAGGGATTAATTTGGCAGACAAGCCAAATATTAAGGACTAAAACTGAATTTTTCTTTAAAAATTTTTGGGACTGTATTTGCTTTGATCGATACATTAGGAACTAATTTGGCACACAAACCAAATATTAAGGACTAAAATTGTATTTTTCTCTAAGTAAAAAATGGATGTATAGTGATATTTTGACATGCTTAAATTAGTATATTTCCTAAGTAATTACAAAATATTCCAGTTTCTTTTGTTTTTATGTTGTTCTAAGATTTCTCGGTGCCAATTTTCACAAGGACAAGCACCCTAGCAGAAAAAGAATATGCTGGTTTTTGTATTCAATCATCAAATTCTAAATTGAATGGGCTCTCAAGAGTACGAACATTTCCCTCCTACACCAAGTATTCATGCTTGCTTCGTCACCTTCTTTTCCTGATTTCTTCACTTCACTTGGGTACAGAAATGGAAACATTGTCGATAGAAAAATATTTAGTTCTTTAAATCAAATGAAAAGAATGGCGACAGGAACGTGAAGACAGGACTTGTGGTTTTATCAGTTGCCCAATCAGTTGCCCTTCATGCTGCTTGGTCAACTACAACAGATTGACCTGAAAATTCAACATTGTCCGAAGCATATACAAAAAAGAAAAATATTACAGAGAAAATAAATCTAAACACCTGAGATATTGAGTACTTTTACAAACCATTGGCACATACCAATGTTGAACATAACTTTCTACAAGTGAATTAAAAACACTGTTTATGCTGTTTTCTTCATCTCTATTCTTCTTTCCAGGGCGAGTCTCCAAGGGAAGAATGTTTTCCACATGATCGATCACCCGCAGCAGGACCAGCAACTAATGGAAGCAACCGGCCAACTATGCCCTTAGGCCGCCATGGACCGGTGATTGTACTAGTCCTAGAACATCCAGTTTCCCAATTACAAAAAATTAAACTGTCTACTGCTAAAGTCACTGTATAGACGCTTGCTTGTAATTAAGGCTTCACCTTTTCTGGTGGAGCCAAGGATTTAAGCATGTCAAAGTGTATATGTATGTATATATATGTATATATATATATATGTATGTATATATAGATATATGCTAAAACTAACGCCCTTGAAAAGAATTTATCTTCTAACTAGCATTTAGTCGATGTGTCAGCATGGAATATTTTTATTGTAATTATACATCTACTCAAATTTATTTTAATTTTTCATAAATGATATATTAGTTTTTTTTTTTTGGTAAGCTCCCATCATTTTGTTGATTCGCAAGAAGAGTACACAAACTATAGGGACTCCCTCTCTGCAATTATTAGTATAACCTACCATATACAATGACTATTAAGACTAGGATTCCAAAATGCAGAGTCAGCTTGAGTAATCAAAGGGAACTAAGGAGGGGTGGCAGCAACCGACTAAATCACTCCTGCAGTATAATTTTTCCCGCTTGGCCCCGCCCAATTACCATTCCTGATAATAGAGGCTGCCTTTGGATTTTCAGAACTCCTAAAGAGATGAATAAATTGTGGAGAAAACACACGAGATACGGGACCTAATGATATATTCATTTCTATATGTCAAAGGTAATATATTTACCTGTGTAACAATTAAATTCATAGTAAATAAAGTTACCATATATAGATAAAAATGAACAATTTAAATTGATTAAAAGCGATAAATGTTATCGGAAGAGAGAGAAACTGTAAGCAAAATTAATTGGATAAGAGTTAGATGTAAAAATGGGTAAAAATCAAGTATCCATTCACCCATCAACAGTCTTCAATTGAGCGTACCATCGAAGAAAGAGAAAATGGTTTATTGAAATAAGAACTTTCATGTCTATATATGAATCCTTTAAATAAAGAGGGGTGCATGTGTTTTGTTACCTTATTTATGTCAGCAATCTACCTAGGCCATTACTAGTTAGAAATTTTCCCCAAATGACTAGCATAAACGTAATAAGTTCACCTACTTCAAAATGAAAATAGAGACGGCAGATCTCTAAAAGCAATGATATTGAGCATTCTTGTGCTTGCTTTTTTTCCCCCATTTTTGGAAAGGATTGAGCTTGGAAACTTGTATAAGTCGTTCCACACATTCTAGATCCAGTAAATATATCTATATTTCATCTGATATTTATGATAGGTTACATTTTTGCCATTTATTTTGTCATTAATTTCTCTTATTACCTTATCAAATGTGTATTAATTATCAGATTCTGCTCACTTTTGAAAATTTGTGATTATTTTAGGGAGTGGAACAAAATATCATAAAAATGTACCAATTTAACGGTAACCAGCATTAGAGTTTGAGTAGCAGTTAACAAGGTGGAGACTGATTCGACTTTGTTTCCTTGTTGCGTGGAAGATATGCGACAGCCAGGGGCAATTTTGGAAGACTTGACCACTTCTCTTCTTATCGGCAGTTTCCAAAGAGGAGAAAGTCAGAACAGACTAGGAGTCTGCCTTTTACTCCTTATTGCTAGCCGAATAGGAGTAGCGATTATATAGGAATTAGAAAGAAAAAGTAGCCGTCATTCTTGACCCTTTTTGGCAATTGACTTTTGCTGCTTTTCTATTCCATCGTATGTAGACACTTAGGAGAAAACAATTAGCCATTCTTTGGCTTGGAGTTCTTTTTGGCATTGTTCTTAATTCCATCACCTTTTTCATCTAAATTTTGGGTTAACGTACGCCGCAACTATCTCTGTAATTTTGCGTGGGTTCTTCTCAATAAGAATGAACTAAATCCCTTTTTCTAGTCAAGGAATAACAGAGAATTTGATTCGACATAAATTATGAAATCTAACTAATTTTAATTTTCCTATTATTTCATGGTATTCGTAATTGTTTGATTGTTCTAAATTAGTGGCAACTGGCATAATCAGGGTTATGTTAGGGAAATATATGGGTTAATTTGTAGACAACCCTCGTAGCGTGTTATCTAGTTAGAACAGGTTTCTCTATGTCTTAAGGCAATTGTGAAATTTAATTCTATGGTCGTAGTTAGGATTATTTTGCAATTAGAGCAATAACCAACAGTCGTACCTGAGCTATCGATAATTACGGAGAAATTGATTGTCATTGTTTGTTTGACAATTATAATTTGTTTATCAGTTTATATGTGGAATATTCTTACATCGATGATCAATTAGAAGAATCATTTCCGAAGTTGATTCTTGACTAGAGCTGTCTAATACTGTTTGAGTTTTTACTTGATTGCTATTTAGTTGTTATTTAATTCTTATTTGACTGCAACATTTGATTAGCATAGCTCATTGTTAATT